ATTCTGTTTTAGGTGTTTTATTTAAAATTTTTTAAAAATCCTCTAAATGGATCACCTTATATTTTTAGACACTTTATTGTACCAACATACCTACATATTAAGTTATGTATGTAAACGTGTGGGTACAAATACAACATTGATGTAGCTAAATAATGTAAACAAAGACTGGTGGAGGGAGGAAGGTTGATAATGAAATATTTCCCGTGAACAACCACATCATTTTCTCTTTGGCAGTAAGCCACGCTATTAATTGGACGCATCTATTGAATTTAATTTTCTACTTATTATTTGAATTGCATACAGGACTGCTAATTTAATATTTATCTAGGTATGTGTTGACTTGCTGCAAACTTGTCTACGTTCTTCGCAGTTTCTCTTTCGTAATTTTTCCTTAATGATGTTTTTCTAGCCTAATTGAAAGTAATATTTTTTTTTTTCAAGGTGAGCAGTGATGATGCTGTCAGCTAAAGGTAGAGTTGATGGGGAAAAAATTAAAAAAGAAAAATTTTAGGAAACTTTTGTTTAGTGAAGTGGAAAATTTTAACACAGTAGAATTGGATGCATTTATGACAAGCTTATAAAGTTGCATACGTTTGCAAATACTTGCAACATTCAGAGATAATACGGCATTATTGGTGTTACTTTTGCTTACTGTTCTGAAGTCTTGCAGTTCAGGCCCCTATTATGAGGAGTTCAGGCCCCTATTATGAGCTTTGAAGATAGTTCTCTTGTAAGTTGTTAATTGGTATTATGGGACACAACTCAACTCAGCTTTGAAAACATAGTTGTCTGCCAGCTGCGTGGCACCAGCATCCTCGGGCTCATCGGTAAAACATAATTCGTAGCTGATTTCCATTTTTTGCTTTTAATTATTTTAGTATCATTAAAATAATATAATATTATTAAAATATCGAAATTCGTGTCGAATTTCCGTCTTTTTCAATGGCTACATTCAACTGAAAACAGTTTGAGCCATAACCGCCAAAATAACGTAAGCGGCATTTTTTTTAAAATTTTCTTTTTGATGCAGAAATATTCCTACAGCATCTAGATGCATTTCTGCATCAAAAAGAAAATTTTGAAAATAATGTAACTTACGTCATTTTGGTAATTAGAGCTCGACATAGTGGCCCGTAGTTATAGTAAAAAAAAAATATAGAGCCAACTCCAAAGTTGAAGGCAGCTTTTTGACATAACTTTCAGTTGGATATCTGCTAAAAAAAATTCTTTTAACTTTAGAGTCGACTTTAGTGTTTTTAGGAAAAACCAAAACTTTTAAATCTTAATGGCCCTATTGATAAAAAATAAAGTAGGTTTATAGAGCTTTATAAATTGACGTTTTCATTTTTTTTTTCAATTTATAAACCTTTTATAAAGGTACTTTATTTTTTATGAATAAGGTCATAAATTTGTATGTAAACCATTTCTGTACTTTTACTTAATTGTTCATAAGTTCTACATTTATTATTCAATTTAGATAAGCGGGGTCGTATTGTATTTACAAAAGGTCATACTTTAACGTACGAGAAATAAACCGAAAGTTGACACAATTCGTCATCTTGGTGTTTGTACCTAAATACACATTTTTTGATATTTTGTTAAGAAATATGCAAACTTGTCGATAAATCAATGTATACCTCCCAAATTACATTTCTGGTTCGAAAATCTTTTTAACGCAGAAAAAAGAAATTTAAAATTGGCCAACTACTTCCAAAGAAAATTGCAACTAAGTGAGTGCACTTTTTTTAAAATATCAAAAAAACGAAATTTCACAATATCTCAAAAATTGTTCCACATTCTTTTATTCTGATTTCGTACTTCAACAGTTACAATATTTTAAGACGTCCACCAAAATATTTCGGAAAAATATCAAGATGTTTTTTATGAATAAAAATAGTTTTTTAAAGAACTTTTTGAAAAAGGTCCTCTCAGATGACAAAACAGATTAGGCTTTAAAAATCTGCATAAAAAAATATTTAAAAATCTTCTCAGGGGAATCGTAATAATGAGATTTTTGATGCTGTTTTTTTTTATTTTTTTTTTTCAAAGATTGATTTACGAAAAACTTAAATAAATGGGCGAAACTATTCTGATTTAGACTTGTGGGATCTCGGTAGAAAGGTATTTTCCCACTATTTTTATTTATGTGCTAAACAAAGTCATTCGTGTCCCAATTTTTTTTTCAAATACCAACACATCTTAATTCAACTCGATGTTCGTTCATCCTACCTTTCTCTTTAAACCTTTGAATGAGCTTCTTAGCAAATAAATAAAAAGGGTTCTTACCCTTACCTTACCTTACCTTTCCAATGATACCTCACTAATCTAAATCGGGAGAGTTTAGGTTCAGTTATGTATTAAAGTTTTACTTATACAGATCTTTGAAAAAGTTAAAAACGGTATCCAAAATCTCATTATTACGATTCCGTTCAAAATTTTCTTTAATTTTTGTTTTAAATATTTTTATGCAAAAAATATCTAAAAAAATATTTTTATTCATAAAAAGCTCCATTTTTGGGGGTATTTTCTAATCGGTCCAGCTCACGTAGATCTTAATATTTTTCCGAAATATTTTGGCAAACGTCTTAAAATATAATACATTTTAAGATTCCAAAGGAAAAACAGTACTGATTTTTTTTTGTGATGCAGTCTAATGTACATACCTATTTTCAAAAAAAAAAATGTAATTAAGTCAGTGCATTTTTTCCAGTTCTCAAAAACACGAAATTCTCCTATATCCCAAAGAATGTTCATTCCTCTTATAGGTTGGTTTCATTTCGGATTCAACAGAAAATTTTACATTAGGATGCACATAAAAATTTCGCAAGTAGGACAATTTTGTCATTACTGTAAACTTGTATAATTGCGGACAAAAATGCAAGGCGAATCCGGGTGCGTTCTATTATGAAAAACTTGCAGTCCTTTTGCCATGCCCATTAAAAATTATATATCGTTGGAATCATAGAAAATAAGATTTCAAAAGTGGTATATTGTTTAAAAAATGCAGTAAAATTTTTTGTATATTAACCAAATTTTTTGCAGAAAAAATGTTTAGTAAAAAATAATAGTTTCCAACAAAATGCACGGAGAAAATACTTTAAGACCCAGTACTGGTTCGCGATAAATCTTTTTTGCATTCAAATAACTGGCGAATTTAACATAGCGATGAAAGTGCATTTTAACAAAAAATCAGCCAAACACATATCTATGTAAATTAAACAATCATGCATCCCTTTTTCGATAGTTCTGAACAACTTCTAAATTCGACAGATACGATCTAGTTCGTTCTGCTTCTATTTTTCTAGAATTCCGAACCAGTTCTAAGTTCGTCTCCTTAGATATAGAATCCTAATCAATTTGTACCAAACCCGGAACAGTTATTGTTCTTGCCACATAAAAGCAAAACGCTGAAAATTATTGAGATCATATTAAAATTACGCCCACTTTTCATATAACCGTAAATTTTAGAAAGGCTTACAACTTCGATATTTCGAAATTTGAGGTCACTAATTTACCCAAAATTTATACTAGCAACAATCCATTGAAAACAAGTGACTATTATGGATTTTTGGAAAATGGTAGTGATACCGTCCACATATCGTCGCCTGGGAAAAAGATTGTCGTAAGCGTCATACGTACCTGCGTAACATACGACAATCTTTTACCAAGGCGACGATATGTATGATTGACTGCATCACCAAAAAAGTTGCGGGTTTTCTGCCGGGATTACCAAATTTATTATATTTTAAGACGTCCACCAAAAAATTTCGGAAAAATATTAAGATTTAAGCGCGCTGGAACAATTTGAAAATACCTCCAAAAATGGAGTTTTTTATGAATAAAAATAGTTTCTTAAAGAGCTTTTTGAAAAATGTCCTCTCAGATGACAAAACAGATTAAGCTTAAATTCGTAGTCGTAAAAGATGTTGATAACGGTCAAAGATGAAAGTTCAATTCTTTTGTTTAACATTTCGAAAAATTAATTTAATTAAGCTACAAAAATTCGGTGTTGTATGTAAATATGTATACATATCTGTGCCTATATACATACATATGTGTTGCAAGTATTTTTGTGATTGTAATTTTTAAACCACTTAACCCTTATGCGCACCATGACAAACTGCTTTTAAATTAAATGAATTTTATAATTTTATTTTCTGCCTTACCTTATCTACGATTAAATACCATTTGTACGTATGATTGCTTATTTATTTATTAGTTTTTTTTTACATAAAAAAATTTAATCACAGCCAGTTTGTGCGCACACATCCAATCCCAGTGCAATAACATCACTTTCTCGCAGATACATTTCGCATTTTATTTGTGCTGATACCACTACTTGCCGTTTTCACATTTCGCTCGCCATCACGCTTACGTTCGCATAAACCGAATTTCATTTCAAAATTTAAAATTAAAATCCAAATTAAAAAAAGAGACTCTAATAAACAGTTGTATCTAAAATTTAAATATACTTGCTACATATTGCGAATTCTGCTGAAATTGTGTGTAAATTTTTCTATGTGGTAATTGTGTTATACTTTGGTTCTAAAATAAATATTTGTGTTTTTGTTTCGTTTTTTCTTGTTTTCTCAAAATCAAAAAAAAAAACATGTGCGTATTTCGTGTAAAATGCTAAATGCCAAATCTACTACTACTACTACTACTACTCTACTACTACTCTCTATTTACAAAAAATAATTAACTAAAAGTTTGCATACTGCACGGATATTGTAAGTCTCACTCGAACTAACATATACTTATATATATGTATATCTATATACTTGTATATTATCTATCATATATGAGATATTTCTACTCTTTCTATCAAATATGCATACATATGTATCTATATAACTCTCTCTCTCTCTCTCTCTCCATTCCTTCTTATGCTACTTAAAGCGCCTTAGTATAAAAGCTAACTTCTTATTTGGCACAGCTACTTTTAATCTTTCCCTTCCGCTTTGCATTACAATTGAATTTCATTCGAATTTCCAGACAATGTTCATCCAAAAATGCGATTCAGTCTCTCACCACCACCACCCAAGTCCGCTTCCGTCATAACATCGCCCACCAATATGCAAGCCAATTACGCACAAAGCAATAACAATGATCCACGTGCTTCCGGCATTGGCGCCCGAAGTGACGATGACATCTCGCCCGCCGCAGCTGCGCCGACGCCACCAAAGGACGATGCTGATGCTGCCTCCGATTACAATCAATGGTTGCATGCAATGAAGTTGGTGGCGCGTTTGCCTGGCGGCATGCCACCGGAATTTAGACGCAAGGTAAGCTACTAGTAAATGTTGTTGCGGGTCAACACGACTGCCCGGAAATTCATTTAATTGCTCTCTAATTGGAACATTTTTCTATTCCACATTCGCGTCACATGACTGGCTTGCATAGTTGTGGCTCTCGCTGGCGGATAAATATTTGAAATCGAAAAACATAGACTGGGCAAAGGAGGAGGAGAAGTGTTTCTGCGAGAAATGGCGCGAAGATGACGAAGAGCTGGGCATACAAATTGTCAAGGTGGGTTTGGAAAGAAAAACCAAATTTTATTGGTGCACTTGAATGTAAAATAGAATTGCACACTTTAGAGGCATGTATGCAGACTGGACATCAGCTCAGGAGTCTTTATTTATTGCTTCAATCTCAATTATCTTACTTTATTTTACAGGACTTGCACCGCACCGGCTCGAACTTGTGCACCGGCCCGGCTGGCTCGATCAATCAGGCCAAACTGAAGCGCATACTTTTAGGTTATGCGCGCTACAATCCGGAAGTTGGTTATTGTCAGGTAAATGTGCCCTTTATCTAACATAGCATTTATATATTTAAAATTTTCATTACCATGCACTGCACACAGGGTTTCAATATGCTTGGCGCGTTAATATTGCAAGTTATGGAAAANAATATTTAGTAACTCAAAACTATTACTTTCCACAGTCGCGTGCTTAGTACACGCACAGCTGATGACTTCTACGGCAAAATGGGTTCGTTTTCTAGTGAATTGCTTAATGGGCATCTCATTGATTCGAATGGGTTAATTGAGAAAGTTGTACAGCTCGGGCCGATACCAGACATACAACGGTTGCGCGACAAGCATCTCTACAACATCACACCGTTGCGTCACAAACAAGGCTTACAGTAATTTAATACGTTCTCCTTAATTTATAGACAATTTTAAATTATTTAAACCATGTTGCTTTGCAGATTCTATTATGATGACGAAGAGCCCGGCTCTGATGAGGAGTCGCGCCTCGCTGTCGCCACCGTCTGGGGCATGCCGTGGGGTCGTCGTGGTTCGCAAGGCAACAGCAGCGCGGCAAGCAAGCAAGTCTCCGAGAATAAAGAACGCCTCGCATTGGATATTTCATTGCTGAAGAAGCAATACGATCGCCTGCGTGAAAGACAGCGTCAAGCGCATATTATACTAACCACCGCATGCACCACAGCACGCCAGAGCGCCATCACCACCTCTGCTACGCAACCTAGTCAATCGCTGACTGTCAATCAACTGCTCTTGGGTCGCCCCGCTATCGTTACCAACAAAGGCAGACGTGTTGGTCCACCACTAGGCGCTATACCACCCGCACGCAAACCATCTCTTCCCACTGTTTTGCACTCAAGGCCACCAGAGCGCCAACTACGCCGTGGTGAAACCTTACACTGGCGTGATACTGATATAAGTAAACGTCGTAGAGATAGCCTTACATGGAAGGAGATTAAGGCCGATCGTGCCAGTTTGTTGCGCGCGGATGTGGAAGCTGTGCCGAAGACACAAAAACTTCGCACACGCGTTGGCAAAAGCGATTCGTCGTCGTACAGCGAAGAAAGTGAAGATGAGCCAGACGATGGCTCGAGTACTGATACGAGTCTCTGCGATGACGATGATCCAAATTCTGGTGGTGATAAAACGCATTCTTCATCTATTGAGAACAGTCCCAAACGTAGATCTAAGTCTGCACGCAAGGCTAAAGAGCTCGCAGCGAAATTGGAAACATTGAACGAGCCCATTGAGAGCGAAAAGGAGCGCAGGCGCCCCAAATCGTGGGCACCCTCATCTACAGAAATTCCTTTTATGCTTATGACTTCAGATTCGCCAACACACAGCGCTGATGATGAAAAATCGGCACAATCACATCATTTTGAGGAATTGATGAAAGAAGAGGAGGATAGCACAACCGAATGTGATCGGCTCGGCTATAAGGGTGCCTCCACGTTAAACTGGCCCGACTCAAAGTTCTCAACCATTGCAGGAGATCTGGCTACGACGAACCTAGATGCACTGCATATTCAAACAGATGTATTGGAGTTACCTGTGATAACAAGCACAAGTCAACTTTCTCCTATGCCAGACATAGCTGCCTATCTCAATAGCTCAAGTATCAGTCCATTACCTATGCCGAAACCACTCTTCCTCGACTCAACTAATTCGCTTGGCAGTGGAGATGACGGAGAGGAGGGTAAAAAGTTTGCTGTCAATGATGACGGTGTGACAAATGAATATTTCGAGCGCGTAAATAGCGTAGAAAGACCTACAAAGTTAGACTTGTTTTATTCGCTCAACGAAGAAGATGGAATACGAAGGGCTGAAGAAGCAGACGTTGAACTAGAGAAGCGCGAAGAAAGTTGTCGCACTGATCATAGCACAAACAACGCCTTTGAAAAGTTGTGTGAAGACAACGGCCATGAAGAGAATACCAACAAATTTGAAGTATCGGACAAAAGTTCTGACAGACGCATGGAACTGCTAATTGACTATTCTGAAAAGTCATCTGCAGCCTTCATTGCAGCGGCAACCAATGAGGTGTCCACGAATCTGAGACAAGACAAGACTAAAGATGCAACTGATGCTACAGATTTCACCAGTGGAGTGCTTGCTAAGCAAAAGGATGCCGAGGTGGAGATATCTATGCCCGCAAAAAGAGACAGTAACATTCCTGGTAAATCTGTTGAACGGTTTGAGGAGAACCTTTTGAAAGCAGCGATTCCTAAACCAAATACAAATAATATTAAAGCAGCGACGACAACAAAATCGGGCACTATGAGTAATGCCTGCAGAAAACGGCGAGATCCTAGACGCTTGACTCTCACACGTTCTTCCACTATAGAAATTGAAGAACGCTTCCAGGCATTGGAACGCAGAATGAGTGAGGAAACATTTGTTAGCGATAAAGAGAAGATAAATAATGATGACACATCCGATGAAGCGCTTAAAAGAATAGTACCGTCAACAGCTGATCTAGAACAGAGGTTAACTTCACTTGAAAAGCAAATGAGTAAGGAAGGGGATGAGAGAAAAAGGTTTGCTGAAAGTAGGGAATGTAGAGATATTTCTAATCACGAAACTACATTACTAATTAACAGACAATTTACAGAATCAAGACACGAAAAAATGTTAAACAAAAACTCCTTTGAGGGATCTGCCAAAGAAACCGTACCGGCTAAAACCCATACTTCGGACACGAGAAACAATATACCAGACGTTGTACCCTCTGGGGAACATCGTGAGTCCACAATATCAAAACAAGCACGCAATCGTATTCCTTCAACTTCGGAGCTAGAAGATCGCTTCAATGCTTTGGAGAGACAATTAAGTTCAAATGGTTTACCAACTAAAAGCTCAATGGACATGCGAAGAGGCGAAAATGGCGCCGGCAAAAAAGATCTGGAAACTCCACCTAATACGCCTACCGAAAGCAACAAGCCGCACTTAGAGAAAGGTGAAAGTAAGACTACGCTCAAGAGTGAAATTGAAACAGAAGAAGCATCAGAAGGAGATGCTGGAGAAAACGGCAAACCCCGCATTAAGAAGCTGCCATCAACTGCCGAACTAGAAGATCGATTTAATGCGCTAGAAAGAAGAATGAGCGCACAGAAAGCCAGCCCCAGCAAAACAAAAAAGGAGCCGCCCGACGAAGTAGAGGCCAAAGAAATTAATACCAAAAAGGAGCCGTCTGATGAAAATGCGAGCGAAAATGAGGTTAATATTCAAGCCAAGAAAGAAACGGTCGGTAAAAACGATAGCGAGCCAAATAAAGTAGAAAAAGTAGCCATAGAGAACGTTTCGCCAAAGGGCACGGCCAGTAAAGCAGATAGCAAAGTAAATAAAGTGGAAGAAATCGTCAAAGAAAAAGTTTCACCAAAAGGCAAAAAGGAGTCTCAAGTCGAAAAAGATAGTGCAGTAGAAGCTAAAACTAGTACTACAAAAACACCAAGCAAAGGGGACGACAGAGCAAAAGAAGATACGACCAAGAAGGAAGTGAAGAAAGACAAAGAGCAAACTGAGCACAAACGAGAAGATGTGGAAAAGAAAAGCGTGAAAGCACAAAAACCTAACGTCGAAAAGCGCGATGAAGATAGTGCATCAAAAGCATCACAAAATATAGAAACGGAAAACAACAAAGAACTCAAGTCAAAGCACGCTGAAAACGAACGCGAAGAAAGTGAGGCTACCCTGGAAAGAAATGGAGACGATTCGAAAAAATCCGGAAAGAAATCTCCACCAAGTACTGAAGAACTTGAGAAACGATTCAAAGCTTTAGAAAAACAAATGAGCAGCGCGAGCCTAGAGGGTAGCGCAGTGAATAAAACCTCACCAGAATCTGAAAAGATTCAAGCAAAGGCAGACAAGGGAAGAAAAATTTCATCGGCATCTGAAAATCACAGCGAAATGACAGAAACAAAACCGGAAACGAGCGCTAAAGCCATGAAAAGCTTCGACGACAAATGCAGGCAAGTGAACAAAGAACTATCTAAGAAAATTGAGTCAGAACTTGAGAAAACGGCACCAATAACAACAGGCGATGCAACCGCACCTGATCCCAATTTGGTTGAGATTTTCAATGCAAAATGTAATGAAATCAATACAGAGCTAGCAAAATCAGCTAAAAAGGAAGTTGCGCAGCACAAAGCTGTAGAACGCGTAGACGACTCGAACATTACATGCAAGAGGCGCGCATCCGAACCACCTTCCACAGAAGACTTAGAAAAACGTTACGAATCTCTCAAACGTCGAATGAGCACAAAAACTATCATTGAAAAAGGATTTGGTGCCAAAGATAAAAGCAGGACTGCTTTTGAGGAGGAATCAACTGAAGAAACTCCAGTCACAAACGATACCAAAATGAAAGCTAAAATCAAACCTTCAGGCCCACCAAGCACTGAGGACCTTGAGAGCCGATATGAAGCATTGCAGAGGCGATCCAGCGAGCAGAAAGCACAAGACGGCAAGAGCCAAAAAGAAAGGAAAGCGCGAGCGGCGAATGATAGAGAAATTATAGAGGCAAAAACAACAAAGCGCGCCGAAGACACAGCTGCGCAGGAAATATTTAAGAATATCGAACAAAAACGGCAATCGAGCGAAGCGCATTCGGAAGCAAGCACCCCTCGAATTCCTGTTGCCCCACCAATGCCTTTGAGAGATACTGTAGAGCCTTTTCTAAACGACGAACAGCATCGCGCACTTATTGAAGAGTTTCAGAGCAAAATCAAGGTACAACCAAATGGTGAAAACCTAAAACCAAGCGACATCAATCCAAATCGCCGCACAACAACCGAACGTCAGCGAACAACAACATTCGATGGAACCTCGGAAGCACATGCAAACACCGCTTTCTTTAGATCGGAAAATTACGAACCCTGGTACAGTCAGCCACACAAAATGGTTCGTCGTTTCTCCGATTTACCATCAAGAGCTGATCTTGAAAATCGCTTACACTTTTTGGAAAGACAATTGATCATAAAATTCTACAAGCAGCGCTGTGCAAGTGATTCCGAAGTGGCATCGAGAAAACATTTTTTGGATGTAAAAAGTCAATCCGCCGACAACGAAGCGCCCAGTACGTCGGCACGCAGCCAACAGCAAGCAGCAGAAGATTTGGAAAAACGTGTACTTGCGTTGGAAAAGCAGCTCAGCGAAAATAGTCTTAAATTGCTGGAGGCTGTGCGTGTGAGGGAGCAGGAAGCTGCTGCTGAGTCCAGCTCACCGCGACGGCTTAGCTCGGAGACCGCTGATGCGACAGGAAAAGAGCTCGTGCGTTACGTTGGCGAACTTGAAGAACCAGGCTCACTTAAGCCAATAAATATCAGTATTAATATCAAAATGCTGCTCAAAAGAAACGAGGATGAAGAAAATAAGCCCAAAGATAAACTGCCGACCGCCGCGGAATTGGAAAAACGACTCGAGGTGCTGGAGCAGCAACTAAAAATATCTAGATCACGCCGAGAGGGCAGTATTGTTGAGCAGCAAAATTGCCAAGATGAAGTGCAGGAATTGAAGAAGTCTGAAGAAAAAACGGAGGAATCCGTAGCCAAGGAAATTGAAAGCAACGAGACGATAAGAGAACTGCCGGATGCAGAGAGGGAAGATAATGAAGGGATTAGAGAAACGCCAGAAATAGACAAGGTTGTGAAGGAGGCGATAAACGAGGAATGTAAAAGTGATAATAAAGTTATAGATACTGTGAGTATGGAACAAGAAGAGAAAGAGAAAAGTAAAACAAACGCTGAGGCTTTAAAAGCTGAAAAAACTCTTGAGAATCAGCAAATTGCGCTCTCAAATAAAGAAATCGCTGTAAATAAGGAAGTTTGTGAAGTGAAAGCTAAAAGCGATAGTCCCCCAAAAATGGATGAAGTCGTCAACGAGAAGACAGAAAGTAACGAGAAGACTATATGCTCAAATGAAGACGACGTTACAACTAAGAAATCATCAATGCAATCGGAACAATTAGAAGATACAAAACAAAATAAGAATATAGACGAGGATTCAGCGAAGGAAAATGAACCTAGCAAGGAAAAGCAGGATGAAAGCAAAGAGTCGACGACAGCTGCTGAAAACCAACAAGCAGCTGAAACGTCGGTTGCTCCTACGCAAACTGCCATTCAAGTTGGATCGTCTGATCCCAACAATAAAACGCTCGTGCTGCTGCTCGACAACGAACCGAAAGCTGTAAAAGTACGACGACTGACACGCGCAAACACCGAAGAATTGGAGAACCTATTTCAAGCGCTCGAAAAGCAATTAAGTGATCGCAATCTAATAAAATCGGAAGACGGCAAGCTAGTGCATGCCGCAGTTAAGCCAGATGAACCATCAGAAGAGTCGAAAGCATTAGCACAACTGTCGAAAGAGATTGAAGATTACACAAAAGTAGACCAATCGGCGAAAGAGAAAGAAACAAAAAAGGAAGCCGCTGTCGAAAAGTCAAAAACGCCAGTTGAGGACTACGATTGGGGTCCAGATCCTGTAAAGCGGCACTTAAAACGCAAAACTGTACATCTGCCATCAACCAAAGAACTAGAAGCACGCTTCAGATCACTAGAACGTCAAATAAAACTGCTAGAAGATGTTGAGAAAATCGACGTCGAACAACGCTTGAATGAAATTGAGCGCAAAATCAAAATGCAATATTCGCTGTCGCACGAGAAAGACCTAACAAAATTTCTAGAACTTTGTGAAGGTAAGAGCTTAGATGAGCTACCCGAAGCTATAACGGCCGCACGTGATAAATATCAACCGGAAGACGGTAGCGCTGTTAGAACACCTACACCAAAGCAGGGCAGATCCCCGTACACCTCACCATCGCATGCAAAAGAGAAGACACCGCACACGTCCCCAGCGCGCACACCACGCGAGTCTCGCAGTCCCAAAAGACATACCTCACCTGGACGTGTCCGATATGATGATGGCCAAGTAACATCTAAGAGCCCAAAAAGACATGGCACTCCTGGACACGTTCGATATGAGGATCCAAATATACCAACGACTGAAGATCTGGAGTACCGTTTTCGTGCACTGGAACTTCCAAGATCTAAGTCGAAGGAATCGTTGACCGGCAAATCAAAAAAGAATAACGTCGATTCGAAAAAGTCACTAATACATCCACTAGAAATGCTACTCGACCCCAGCTCCGATGAGGATGCTATACCCACAACTGGCGAACTGGAGCATAGAATAAGAGTGCTGGATGATAAAAGGAAGACACCTTCGCCTTCGCGACAATCACGCTCCCGTTCGCCGACAATTGAGGATATAAAGAATAGGAAATTAGCAGAAGAACAGCGGCCAAAAGCGCCCATACATAGTTTAGAAACGCTTGTCGCGTCGCCAACCAAAAAAGAGTTACCCACAGCTGAGGAGTTGGAGGCACGTATGCGCGCTTTGGAGGAGGAACATTGCTTCGACTTCAAAATGCAGAAAACTTATCAAGAGTTCAATCAAAAGCTAAAGGATGCCGTATCTCCATCACTTTCTTTCGAAGAGTTTAAAACTTCCAAATCGCGTGAGGAAAGCCCCAGACGTAGCGAGACAAACCGTTCGATCACTCCAAAATCTGCCTTGCGCGACTCTGCCAGCAACTATGACGACGGGCAATACAGATCAACCAGTCCTAAGGCCATACGCTTCCGTGACGAAGAAGACGATTATGTTACGAGCATGCCGTTAAGACCAAAATCACGCACGGATACTCGGGATAACATTGGACGCACGGTGGGCACTCTTGGTGCTTTAGGAATAATTGAAGAAAATTCTAAATACCTTCAACGTATTCTTAAGCAGACTCTTACAGATTCGTGTAGCAGTATAAATGCGGCGCTTACGTCCGAGGGACTTGACGAGTTGGGCAGTCGACTGATGAGGGTGTGTTATAGTTGGACACGATTGCTATTTACTTGCTTGTTTCCCTCACATTCATAAATCACTCAGCTACTTAACTCAACTCATTCTCTTTTTAGGAGACTTCACCACTACAGCGTACTGGCAGCCATACTGGCGTACCGCTGCGTACCAATGACAACATTAACGAACGCTTGGATTCCATTAAAAATACGATCAAGTCCATCGACACGCTCTGCGAGGAGAAACCGTATCGAAAAGAGCGCTGCCAGCGCTACATTGATTCACTATTTTCCCACTCAATACATTTTGCCAGCAAGAAGACCTCGCTAGAGGATCTCTCGCGCTCAGATAATCGTGCACATCGTGAACTTGGCCCCTCCATACGCATTTCAGATCATAGCCAACGACACGCAGACTATTTATACGGTCGTTCTTTGGGTTCGGCAGAATCTATACGTTCGACAAGTCCATTGCACGCTGCCAGTCCATTGCATCATCGTTCAAATCGGGACTTACGTCTTGAAATCTCACCACGCCGGCGGCACGAAGAAGAGCGTGAAGAATACCAGAGTAGGGTAAGACGAGAAAATATGTTGCCAAATTATTCTTTATATGATAGCCTTAGAGATGTAAGTAGTGGTAGTTTAATTAAGTTTCATAAAGTAGATAGACAACTAGACACTTACAAATGTGATGAAAGAGACAGATCTAGTTCACGATCGGCCTCCAGATCGCCGTTGAGATCGCCGTATGGATCGAGGGAGATGATGATGATGAAGACGGAAAGCACCAATGCCAACACACGACACAACAACACCAACATCAACTGCGACGACAACGACCGATACAATCTAAAAACAATGAAAAATAAATGTTACGAATTGGATTTGAATAGACCATACGTGCCCGCATACCGTCATAACACAACAGACACTCTACTCGACTACGATTCGCTGAAACGCTCTAATACGCCCGTCTATGTGCCCGGGCGCCTAGATATACGTCATACGACAGTTACGTCAACGTTTTATGATCGCTTATTGGCGGAAAAGGAAATTGAACGAAAATTTTCGCGACCTTCTAGTCGTTCGCCTATCGTTTCGCCATCGGTTACGTCGAAAAGTTATGTTGATTTGATGAGCGCAAGCACCAAGACTTACTACCATGACAAATCACCAACAACGACTTTGGCAGCATTACGACTGGAAAGTGGTGCTGGCGCTACAAGCTCTCCCAACATTCAAAGAAGCGCAATGACCACCAATAACACCCACACCAACCAATCCTCGAATCCCTTGAAATTCGATACTAACACAAACACCACCACAACCACCTTTAGTACCGCTACACTAGATTCGGCCAAAACACCTACAGGTAATTCAAGCATATACTCGTACCAATTAGATATGCCGACGCGGTTTCCATTGGTAGCCGAGGCTTCTAAAATGGACTTACGCATACGCAGTTGTGATAATATACTCATGCAAATCAAATCTAATTCTATAACTGCAGCTGGGCTAGGGCATTTGACCCACAATACAACAACACCTATAGCCACAACAGCAACAACAACAACAACAACAACAAGTACGACCGGTACATCGACGTCGACAGAGACGCTAACAAGCAATAGGTTTTCGTTTCCGACTACGACTTCGACTAATTATGGAATTGGCTTGAGTGAAAATATAACAAACAACACTACCAAAATCACCTCTATAACAACAAGTATTACAACAACTAACAACTACTTCTCCACTACCAACATCACCAATACTGCTACAACTACATTAACAACAAACTTGAACATCAACAACAGTTTCACAGGTTTTGACAGATTAGCAACAGTACCAGTAACAACAATACCATCCCAAATAGCAACAACAACAACAACAACAACAACAGCAATTAGTGCTTTTAGTACCAACCCCATGACAATGACAACAACTACTACTTATAATTTTAATAGTCTGACAACAATTACAAAACCAACAACGCATGGCAATGAAAATACCAATAATTTCTACCCAAATAATACGTCTGCAACACTGTTGTCGTACAACACAACGAGTGGTGGTGGCGTAGGTGGTAGCGGCCTCTTTAATACACCCCTGAATATGGCTCTAACAATGCGACAATCTTCTGATGGGACGGCGCTCTCCACATTTGGCCTGTACACTAGTAATTTAAACAACAACAACTTTAGTAGCAACAACAGCCACTTGAGTTACAACAACAGCAATACAACAGAGGGTTTAGCTCCAAATAAGAAGTGAAAAGTGTAAAACATTCATACACATACCAAGTAGTAGTAGAAGATGCAACCGTGCTGCCTAAATACGAAAAAAAGAAAAAACAAAACAAAAACAAAGAGTGAGTGTAGTGATGATGATTAAGAAAGCAATGCTGTGCGTTTGTAGATGAGTTAACAAGTTTTTAGCAAGCAAAAGAGCAAAGTAAGATAGAACTATATTTACACAAAAGTAGTTATACATATGTACATACATACATACGTGATTATACTGTAGTGTGAAAGACATTGTATTCCAACTATATTATTTATAAATAAATAGTTCAATGAAGAGAAGTATTATGCATATTGTGCTTGGAAAATATTGAGAGATCTGCACACTAGCGAAAATTTTTAACCGCGAAATTTTATTGCCATAAATAACTACCACTCCTTCTAACTGCTTATGTACATAGGTGCATGCGTGGGCACAGAACCCTGTCAATGTATTAAGTTATTCAGCCATTGAGTTTTTTGAGGAAATACTGGCATTGCATATTTGAAGGGACAATTAGTCTGTTCGGACTAAAAGTCTGACTATGGCAATTTAAAGTAACTTCGAGGCTGTCATCTAAAAATGATCTTAAATGAATGTGACTTATATTGGGACAGGCGGAACTTAACGTAACTTAATGCCACGTCGGAAGTCTATTGCAATACGATTTTCTTTGTTTTAAATTATGTTAAATTAAGTTGCCCTAATCAGACTTTAAATCTGCGGAACTATTTTGTTCTCTCAAGTTGGAGTTACGGGAGCGCAACTACAATTGTGTATGGGAACGCAGACAGCACTTTTCCCAGCAAAAACGTCAGTAGGTTTGTCCACATGTCATTAATACCAGGGTGTTCGATTATTCGCGTTTTTTCCAAACCCGGTTTCTAGTTATGCGAAAATTTTCAAATTGAAAAAAAAAAACGGTTACCTATTAATAAAAAACCAGATAAAACGGTTTTATTTTACATATGTAGTTTTCATACAATGACCAAAAATTACAATAAAACTTTTAACATTTTATTTAGAAAGGAGCAAGGAGCAAAGCAAAATAAGTTCAAAGTTTTTTTTAGATTAAGGCGAAACAAATAAAAATCAGTGAAAACTTCACATTTCGTCATATTCTATTTTTTGTTTTAATACTTTACTGCATTTTTGCAGCCTTTATCAGATTTGAGTAGTGCTTTTGCCGCCGTAGCCGAGTTTTTAGATGTGCCTACTGCCACTCGGAAGGTCCCTGTTCAATGGCAATGGCAAACCTCCGAGTGCACTTCTACAAAGCGTAGATTTCTCCATTTAGGGCTTTTCCTTACTCTGGAAAAAGCCTTGAAAACTTTGAAAAACTCCAAACTTTTATTGAGAAGACAAGATTTGAATAAAATGGAAAAAGCCGGTTTGTTCAATAGAAATATCCGGCTTATTCGATATTCAAAAAATCAAGATTAAAAAAAAACGCTTATAAATATCAACAAAAAAAAACGGTGGAAACCGGTTTGGAAAAACCGGGTCAATCACTTTAACTAGTACATACATACAATGCTGAAAGGTCATTAAGCTATTATTAAAACCTATTCAATTTAATATTTCGTTGTTTACTATTTACTGTTTAGTTTTTTTGAGTGTTCTCAGATACAGAATTTTTGGGCGAGGGAACGATTTTGAACTAAATCCTACAAATCCTGGACGTACTGGAACGTACTAAATATCGCTGACAATGTTGTTATTTTTGAGCTTTTTGTAGCATATTTCACTATCGTAGATAGCTCCGTGCCATGAGGAGATTTGGAGCTTGCACATAATGCAAATTGATGCAAGCTTATAACAAATTCAACATCGATAGCATTTTTCAAAATTTTAGCATATTTTTCATCAGTTAGAATTTCATCCCAAGTCTTGTGGACCAACGGAAACAGGTTATTAAAAACGTTTGCAGCTTTCGATACACATCTTGGAAGATTCAATTTCCTCAAAGTGATTGTCTTTGGAATTTTATCAGAGTCATTTGGTTGCCCCCTAACGTTGGCGTTTTTTGAGTGTATTAAGGAAGGCATAAACTGCTCTGATGATGCCAAGGCATTCTCTGATAGCTGATAAACTGCGTTTAATGTAGCGCAAAGTCCAGAAGTATTACTCCTTCGTGCCCTCACCCAATTGTATAAAAATGGTATTTTGTTCGAAATTGGCCACCGTACACTTAATTAGAGAATCACCTGGAATGTTTTAAGTACTAGCTCCGTTCTATATCTGCCCGAGAAGAGTTACCAGACTCTAAAGAAATAAAAGCTTTTAATCCCTCAGAAAATATTAAAAATGGCCTATGTCGCGCGAGGAATCGAGAACAAATCCTCTAAATATGTACTGACATAGACCATACTTGCAGAACTTTTTCCCAAAATTTTGGGAATTTTTTTTTTTTTACTTAAAAATTTTTAAAATTGGGTTTTTAGTTTTGATTGGATCAATCTCCCCTTAATCGCTGGATCATGAATTCTCTGTTACTGGAGAATAGTATATTTCGGTTCATAGTACTGCTGAAATTGCTTAGTTAAAGCTATACACACAGATTACACAAGGCATCAAAATAGAAACCAAATTTCCGGCGCAAATTTTAATGCTAATATTGATAGACGCGCTGACAACGAATCCGTAGGTGCGAATAGAATTTGAGAAAAAAATGGCCAAAGTGTCAAATCACGTTTTTGGATTTTTTTGAGAAGCTCTAGCGATGAAAAAAAGGGATGGAATCTTTCACATAGGTCTAAATTAAAGCATGAACTTTAGGATACAATACCCGAAAACACAGCATACATTGAAATGTTTGTAAAAGTGGCCGGTAACTTCGTTTATCGGTTGCAAAATGTTAACTATCAAATTAAACTTAAAGCGGGACTTGTATGGAGAAAAACCATTTCATTGTTTAAAAGAAATCTTAGAAGGCAGCGTCACGCGAGCTTTGCTTTTAAAGCATTGAATCCATCATGGAGAAATCTTACAAGAAAATTTTAGTTTCAACCCATTTTAGTTTCAGCCCACAAACCCACAAAGCTAAGGTCAGCCGCAGGGAGTGTAAAACTTGATTTGCAGAACTGCGGAGGTTGTGGTAAACTTTTTTAAACTATTTTTGGACCTAAACCAACTTGCCAAAGCGTAAGTATCCACACACATCGCTATACTCTTTTAAAACGACGTGAAACATAATTATTGTCTTAGGATTTAGTAAATACATTATTCATAGAACTTTTTAACTCTCTAACGCCTACTGAAGCGGGTCTTTTTGGCGCACTTTTGAAAAACGGCAGTGGCAATATTTCCAACTTTTCCACACAATTCGCTGTCAAATTGAGAAAGAGAAACTTTATTTCGATGTGTGAACAGCCAAAAATACCTTTATGTCACATTTCGGAAATCAGTTTCAAAAATAAAAGTTGCAAGATGTGACTGTAATTGAGAGGTTGCAAATCAATTTCGGAAATATATTTCAACTTTCTCGTGCAGCACTGACAATCTGCAATTTGCTTTCTGAAATTTCTTAATTTCACAGCCTTTTCGAAATGTATTGCATTTCCACGCCTGGCAGGCTCTTCAGAAGGTTAAACATTGCCCAAGAATGTTAAGCTACCACGGGTCATCCAAAAACGAAGTCCAGCAAAATGCAATGGTATTAAGTGTTTAGCTGAGGGAGAGCGGGAGACCAGGTTTAAAGTTATGGTCGAGTTATAGTAGAGGAGGTAGGGAGTTATGTATCGAGCTCAATGAGCCCGTATGGTGTATAGGTGCACATCAAGCCAACCACGCACTCCATATGGCTGCTATGCGAGAGAGAGGGAGAGAGAGAGAGTGAGATTTGCGGGCAGGCTGATGAAGTGGTAGCGTAAGATGTGACCCTTTTACCATGTATTAATTGGGGGACTCCATTGGAGGAGTCATGCTCTAGCTGCCGTAGGCTGCTGTGCAATGAGCAGGGATTTATTTGAGGATGCATTCATGCAGAGCCCCAGTGTGGCTTGTAAGCCGGAGCTTACTACCATACCAAAAAGTACTCCGGGAGTGGAGTGGGAGCGATGCTTAAAGCACCGTGTGATAGCCAAGCTGGTTAAGCGTTGACCATGCTGAAAATGCCAGCGACTTATCACTTCACTAAGTTCAGCGAAGAGATATTTGAGAATTGCATAAAAAATGCATACCCAATTAAGAACGAGCGAAATACTTTTAAACACAAGTGCGTGTGTGTGTTCGCTGCACTTGGTTTATGCGGGAATGCAATATAAATGCGTGTGGGTGTTCGCTGTTCTTTGTTTATGCGGGAAATGCATAAGTCGCTTAAACATCGGCATTGTTGTAACTTTCGTCGGTACAAATTTTCGTCGTACAATTTGGAAGGATGTCCTTTATTGTTATGAATACGGCTCAATGTTTCTTCTTCCTAAAATCGGTTGGAGGATAATGCTAGTCCCATGTTCTGACTACCACACCCAACCAAAAAGTAATCTACTTGTTTACATTTCCCCTGCGGCTTTAGTAAGAGATTTAGCTTAAGCGTTTTTAAATTTTAGCCAAAAAAAGTCCACTAGTTGCAATCGCTGTAAAACAATTTTAACTATACTCACTTATAATACTGTAATTAAGAATGATTTTTAGTCATTAAAGATAATAATTATTATTTTATGATTTTTATTTTTTCGATCAAGAATAATGATTATTTTATGATTTTTATTTTTTCACTCAAAGGTAAACATTATTATTGAGTTTTATTTTTTCACTTAAGAATAATGATTATTCAAAAAACTCAAAGGCTACACCTGCATGATTTCCGACGTATCGTTTTCGGAGGTTGCGACATCCTAACAAAAGGAATAAGTCTCAAAACTTTCAAGTCGAAACCTCAGTTGGTTGCGTCGGTATGGCGTTTTAAATTTTGTGGATAATCATTGAGGTTGTTCACACTTGCCTGGTTATCAGGTTATGTGGTTATATTTTTTATTCAGTTTACAACAAAAAAATACATTACACACTAATAATTTTTAACCAGATAACCTGGTAACAAGGCAAGTGTGAACAACCTCATTATTTTTAAGTGGAAAAATAAAACTCAATAATAATTATTATCTCTGAGCAAAAAAAAAATAAAAATCATAAAATAATTATTTTCGTTGAGCGAAAAAATAAACCTCAATAATAATAACTACTTATTATTAAGCGAAAAAAATATAAATCATAAAATAATGATTAAATGCTGATTTAAATTATTTGACTCATAATGATTACCGTCCCTTGTTCGCAGCTTAGCTATCCTGTGGCATATAGTGTAAATCGGACAGGGTGACTGGTTCATGCCTCCAGAGTTGTTCTTTCTCACACTACTTCCCAGATATTTTTTTTTTTAGATTATTAACGAATCAAACAATTTTTGTTTTCTTTTGATAATATTTGTTTAATGCGTTTTTATTGGCCTTGTTTATTGTTATCAATATTCTCCGATAATGAATAAATATACAATATTCATAAACTATAGTATCGTAAATATAGTCATCTAATACATATACATATATTTTAATGCACTTATATAATAATACATTTAATAAATATAATAAGTACATTTATATAATCATAAATAGAAATTAACATTTTCATGAAAAATTGATACAAATAAAAAAAATTTTAAGATTAAGATTAATTAAATTAAATTT